AGAGATCTGTATTGAACAAGTTTAAGGCAGTGAGCCTAAAAGTAGTTTTAATATCTATTCTTACCTGTTAGTAAAAGTTTTATTTTCCTTTAAAAGACATGCTATATTATTCCCCTAGAAGACACCATACTGAACAGACAAAACTAAGAGCGAGGCTAGAATTTGAAAATATGAGAGTTGACTAGGAGCAAGGGTGCTTGCATAATTGGAGGAAAAAACGTCAAGAGGCACATAGTTTGTTGTTATTTTTAGCTACTCACTCCATCAGTATCCATTCACTCAGCATACAATACTTATCAACCAGGAAATGTGCTTCCTTGATGCCAAAGAAAACCATATTGTATTTCTATTAATAATATCCACTAAACTTAAAAAAATAATAATAATTAGTTTGCCTTTTTGAATTTATAGAATAAGTTTACTTTTTGCAACACTGTATTGCAACCCTATTTAAGGAAGTGAACCTTAAATCTGCAAAGCGATTTCTGTATTAGCAAATTCTAGCAAAATATTAAGATTTGATTCTTGGAAATTGTTGCTGTTGTTGTTAGGTACCATCGAGTCGGTACTGACTCAGAGTGACCCTATGCACAACAGACCAAAACACTGCCCGGTTCTGGGCCAGCCTTACAATCATTGCTACATTTGAGCCCACTGATGCTGCCACTGTGTCAATCATCTTGTTGGGGGTCTTCCTCTTTTTCTCTAACCCTCCACTTTAGCAAACATGATATCCTTTCTCCAGGGACTGGTCCCTCCTGACAATATGTCTGAAGTATGAGAGACGAAGTCTGGCCATTTCGACTTTCAAGGAGTTGTACTTCTTCTAACACAGATCTATTATCATGGTTAAAAGCAAGACTAGTCACATGCACATTATGTCAGAATCCAAAATTTCGTTTCCAGAAAGCTTAACTTCTCTTGAAATGGAATATACACTTTACACATAAAGGAAAAAGTTCTGTTTTCACTATAGCATTTAAAGAGCATTCAGTTGAATTCCTGAAATAATAAAAAATATAACAAATCTAATACCTTTGAATCCACTTGGCTTAGCATAAGCGGAATGTCAGAAGTTGTTGACTTGGGTACGGCAAGGGTTTCACAGATAGCTTGAACTTCTTGATAAATTTCACTATTTTTATCTAATTGAGAATTTTTAAGCTTCTTGTTCTGTAGTATCTGCAAAGCTTGAAGCTCTGTACTTAAAAATACTTTAATAAAACAATTAAAAAACAAATGTTAATGAATGTACAGGCATTCCTTTAAGTAGTTTACTAAAATAATTTACTTCCAACAAATGTCAACAATACCAATAAGTACTACTAACTTACAGAAAATGAAAGAACATCAACAGTTATAAAGTACTATGTAAACTAGCTATTCTAGTCAGTGCTCATACTACACTTTAACTGGTTGACTGTTTTCCACATGCAAGAGCCCGAGCAGCTCCCGCTGGAGTTAAGCTGACAAAGATCCAGGCCCATTCAGAACAGCTTCACTTTTATCTACTTCACCTATAAGAGATGTTTGGCCTAAGACTTTGAAACACATGAATAAGTATAAAAAAGGGCCCTAGAAATAACAAACAATAATCAACAGTCAATTTACTTAATACCACAAGAAAATTGTGAAGTAGTTGATCTTATTATTTCACACTTGTTGTTAAGTGCCATTGAGTCGGTTCCGACCAATAGTGACCCAGTATACAGTTTCCAAGGAGCAGCTGGTGAGCTTGAACAAGCGACCTTGTGGATCAAACCGACTTTGCAGTCCAGTGCATTAACCCACAATGCCACACCAGGACACTACTATTTTGCATTAGCTGGTTTATTTTATTTTAGTTAATGGAATTAAAAGATAATAGGATTTTTCCAAGAATTTTTTGGAGCCCCCATGTACATTAAATGATCTAAAGTATTACAACAATAAGTACATTTACAAATGACCTAGTCTGAGCAAGGCACTGTGTGAACAACGTCAAATAAGAGTACCTACACACTGCCTAATAGAAGGGACCTACAAGAAAATCAACAATTTGTGAGTAAAGAATGTCTAAAACTTGTTTTGTAGCAAGAAGGGGAGTGATTAATTTTTCAACCTAGTGAGCAGAGGTCCCTGGGACCAACAAGAGAGAAGAGCAGAGAGTGGGACCCTACCCAGAAAAGCAGTGATGCCTGAGATGGAGGCAGAGATGATGATGTGGAGAGATAGAGCAGTTGGGGACTTTAGACAGAGAGAGGGAGAGGGGCTGTGTGCTGATGACCTGGAGGGAGGGGGGGAACAGGCTTGTAGTATATACCCTTTGGTTGGTTGATGATACATGGAGGGGATTGTAACCATAGCAATGAAATGATATATAATAGGAAGAATGTAAAAAACTAATGTTCTCCCATGTAAACTATCACATAATTCACAATAAAACACTAAAAAAAAAAGACTGTCTAAGACTGTGACTATGTACACAGCACTCAGGTGAAGGGAGAATAGGGAGAATGTATACACTAGGCAGTACTTCTCATAGCACAATGCTGTTGCTGTGGTTGGCTATGGAGGAACTGTTGCCATTAAAGTGCCATCGAGTTGGTTCTGACTCATAGTGACCCTGTATAGGGTTTTCCAAGGACTGAAAGGTCAGCTTGAACTGCTGACTTTTCATTTCAAATCGACCTTGCAGTCCAGCACACTGATAGACTCAGTATGTAAGAGGAGGAGGGAAGAAGCTTCCAAAACAAAACTGCAAACTGTGTGTATGTTTTGCCTGTGTGTGTGTGTGCACATAGGAACAGAAAAAAAGAAACATCCCTAAAGGTGACTTATGGTTCTCTCTGGGCAATGAGATTAGAAATCACTTTCTTCTTTAGAGTTTATGTACTTTCTAAGCATTCTAGGATATATAATTTTATAATCAGAAAAAACATAACAACTTTTCTTACATCTTTTCTATCCTGCTGACCTTGCAGTTAAGCAGAGCTTATCCTACAGAGCCATACCAGGGATCCATAGTATCACTGTTGTTGTTGTTAAGTGCCGTCGAGTCGGTTCCGACCCATAGCGACCCTAAACAGGGTTTCCAAGGCTGTAAATCTTTACGGGAGCAGAAAGCTGAGCTCATCTTTCTCCTGCGGAGCAGCTGGTAGTTTCGAACTGCTGACCTTGCGGTTTGCAGCCAGATTCGTAACCACTACGCTACCAGAGCTCCATATAATATCACTACTACTACTGAATTCTTTGCATGTAAGGTAAAAAAGGAAAAATGATAGGTTGGAGATACAGTTCTAGAATCCCAGTGTATGAATTCAAACTACATTTATTTCAATATCCCTGAGTTTCATTTATTTAAGTCAAATATTAAAACTTTTCTTAATATACAAAATACCTAGTACATTAATGAAATATCAAAAACCTTGACTTAAAAATAACAAAAAGGAGTTCAAGCATATATTTTCAAGTGTTCAAAGAAAGATAACTTACACAGAAGTGTCAAACAGTCATCCTTTTTTTGCAAACGGTCTTTAATATCTCCTGATATGAGTGCAGAATAAGGACATGCCATTTCTTTCAAAAAACCACTTATCTCGAGTTGGAAGCTTTCTAGATCATCTTTCCCTTAAAAAGAAAACCATAAAACATTTACTGAGCATTTGCCATATTGCTGTTACAGTTAGTGCTGTTGAGTAGGCTCCAACTCAGAGCCACCCCATATAGGGTTTCCAAGGAGCAGCTGGTGGGTTTGAACCACTGACTCTGAGGTTAACAGTCCAGTGCTTATCCTACAACGCCATACTACAAAATTCACCACCTGCTGATTTACATTTTACATCAAACTCTAAAGGCATTACTTTTTTCTTTCCACATTCACATTATGTGTAGGACCCAAAAACTTAGATCATGGCAACTGAGCAGTTTCTACATACAGAAAGTAAAACTAAATTTTAAGACCACAATTTTCAATTTAAGAACATAAGTTTGAAACATACTTAAATCATATTTAAATCATATGTTTGAAAAAAAACAATTTAAATCCCTGAGATGTCCCTTCTAATGGTCTTCCCATCAAGCAGATCCATCAAATATGTCAGCAACTGAAATACGAAAAGCATTAATATGGTTGGAATTATTAACTGACTTCAGAGCAAAGGCTCCATTTCTGTTGTATGCTATGTATTTAAATGTTGTTGTTGTTGCTAAGTGCCGTAAAGTTGGTTCCGACTCATAGTGACTTTGTATAGGGTTTCTGAGGTGCAGCTGGTGGGTTTGAACTGCCAACCTTGTGGTTCTCAGTCCAGTGCTGATCCTGTAGCATCACAAAGTAAATGTAAACTCTAAACCTCATTGCGTATCTTTACTTCATAATTGAATTTCCTAACAACTTATGCTGTATGTTTTGAATTCTGCTTATTTTACTTTGCATTAACAGAATTCTGTTAGATCTAGCAAGGAAATAAGCAATTAAAAAGTAAAAATAGCTTTGTTGTTAAGTGCCATCAAGTCAGTTCCAACTCACAGCAATCCTGCATAGTGTTTCTAAACAGTGGCTTCAACCTCCAGACTTGCATTAGCAGTCCAGTGCTTAGCATACAGTGCAACACCAGGACTCCAAGAATCACTTTAGAAGGGAGGATCTGTCCCCTATCCAAATGCCCACCTTTTAAAAATAAAATTTATTTTATAACACTAAAATTCCACTAATCAAAGACACCACAAGGACTCCAGTTACCAAGATGGTACTAAGTTAAACAAGCTTTCATGAGCTAGTGCAGGAATGTTTTATAAGTGTTTCTGTGTAACTCCAGGAGTCCTGGTGCGGTGCTGGGGGTTACTGCGCCAGAATGCAAAGCCATCTGAACTGCAAGGTCGGTGGTTCAAGCTCACCAGATGCTCCTTGGAAACCCTATATAGGGGTGCTATGGGTCGGAACCAACTCGACGGCACTTCACAACAACAAAATGTAACTCCATGTCAAGAGTTGCAGGCTTTGGAATTACTCCCAACTTAAATTAGGGACTGCATTTATTTATCTTTTTAAATTTAAAAACAAGCAAGAAAAAATTCAATCTTAAATGAGCAATGTTCAAAAACTTAACTATTCAGTAAACAAATTCAAAGTTAAGACAGCTGATAAACAGTAACAACTTATAATATTATAGCAAATTTATTAACCAATTGTGGATTCATAACAACAGCAATATAAAATTTAATCCAAATATTTTTAATATCGCATTCTAAAGTTCTTCAAAATGTTGATTGTTCTTTGTAGAGTGGGCACATTGCTGATGAAACTATAACTCAAAAGCTATCATTTCATTCTACTCTGAAACAAAAAAGTAAATACAATACCAGCTGAAGTGATACTTTCTTCCAAGTTGCATAATGATTTGATTTGCGAGCCTAACCAAACACAAAGCTCTGAAAATTCCGATGAAGACAGTCCACTCTCTGCTGCCTTGGCAATAGCTTGTTCTTCTAACAGTGGTCCCTTATACCTATAACAAAAAAAAAAAAAAATTAAAAAGTCAACAAAACAAAACTTGCTGATACTACTCAACCATTCTTTATAGTTGTATTATCGTTGCTATGGTTAAGTGTGACTCAGAGCAACACTATATAGGGTTTCCAAGGAGCAGTTGGTGAGTTTGAACTGCTCAACCTTGCAGTTCAAACCGACCTTGACCCCAGGACTCCATATTTTACTAAATCAAGCCCCTCCTGAAGAATATTTGGGTTGTTTCCAATGCTTTGCTATTATAAATGTGTTGCAAATCTCTGTCAGTGAACAGACTCCTAGAAGTGTGCTTGGTAGGTCAAAGAGAAAACAGAGCTGTAATTTTGCTAGACACTTTCTTCTAGAGGGGAGCTGTACCATCAAGGTATGAAACTTGTCCATTTCCTCACCACTCACCAAAGTCATCGAGCTTTTGGATTTTTGACAATCTGATATTTAAGTTTAGTTTTCATTTATGTTTCTCTTATGAGTAAGGCTGTAACGTCTTTTCATATGTTTAAAGACCATCTGAATTTTTTTCCTCTTAATTCTCTGTTCTTATCTCTTGTAGGAATTCAGTCACCACTTTGCAGGTGAAGAAATTAAGGCTTACCCAAGTTAAGATACCCACTGTAAGGAGTAGGTCAGGCATAGCGCTAGACATATACAAGGGGGCTTCATAAAGTTCATAGAAAAATTGAACTGAAAGATAATGAAATTTTCCCAAGAACCTTTTGAAGCTCCTTCATTTATATTTATAGCTCATCTAATCCTCACATCAACCCTCTGAAACTGGTTATTACCCCAATACTGTAGGCTGAAGCTAAGGAACTAAGTGATGGAACCAGGATTCAAATCTAGATTTGACTCTATGTGAACTCTGCCTACAACTAGAAGGAAACAAAGAAAATAGCCTGGTCCAAAAGATAGTCGAGGAATGGCAGAGCTGAGCGTGGAGGGCACACTCTGCATCTCCAGCCTAGGTATGCGTCTTCTAGGCATTACCCTTTCACCAAGTCTTTACAGAGCCCCTCATTGAGATTTAATAATAAACATCTTTACACCTAATTACTTTCATTTCTGAAATAAAGCAATATTCATAAATCTAACTAATTCATATTCAGTGGTGGTAAGTTATCCGGACTAAAATTCCAATCACAAAAGTCTACAAAAGTTGATCAAATCAGCAAAATTACTGAATTAATTTAGGAGAAATACATAAATATCATATTCCATCATATTCCATAATGCCACAAACTCATCAAATGAAGTAAAAATAAAAATAAAAAAAATAAATGCATGTAACAAACCTGATCATCTAGTAACAAGCAAACATAATCATAAATACTGGTAACATTTATACACTGTAGCGTAGTGGTTACAAATCGGGCTGTGAACCACAAGGTCAGCAGTTCGAAACTACCAGCTGTTCTGCAGGAGAAAGATGAGGCTTTCTGTTCCTGTAAAGATTTCCAGCCTCAGAAACCCTGTATAGGGTCGCTATGAGTCGGAACCGACTCTATGGCACATAACAACAACAACAAGTGCTTTGTATGCATTTGAGTCAAAAATTATCCGCACTGTGGCTATATTAAAACACCCGTCCTCATCCACAGCTGATGACAACATTGAGCATGCACATGAAATGATTCTCTCGAATAGATGAGTAACAATGGGTTACGTGGCAATTCATTTGGAAATCAGCCACAGCTCTGCCTAGGAAATAATCCACAACAAACCTGGGTTTCGAAAGTTTGCGCATGATGGGTACGAAAACAACTCACAGAAGAGTATAAACAGAAGCGTTTGGACATCTGCAAACAAAACTTGGACCAAAGTTCGAAGAAGGTCAAAGTTTCTTTAAAAAAATTGTTACTGGTGATGAGATATGGATTCATGTCTGAGGGTAAAACGGAAGAGTACAGAATAGAAGCATCTTCAATTACATTCAAAAGTCAGCCATCAGCTGGAAAATTGATGCTTACAGTTTTCTGAGATTCTCAAGGGCCACTATTGTAACAAAGGAGCTCTGGTAGCGTAGTGGTTACATATCAGGCTGTGAGCCGCAAGGTCAGCAGTTCGAAACTACCAGCTGTTCCGCAGGAGAAAGATGAGGCTTTCTGCTCCCATAAAGATTTCCAGCCTCAGAAACCCTGTACAGGGTTGCTATGAATCGAAACTGACTCCACAGCACACAACAACAACATGACGAAAAAGGTTCAACGATCAACAGGGCTCTTTACAGTGAGATGCTCACTGAAGAACTGATACATAAACCAGATTAAATGCAGAGGACTGCTATCTAAGGGCACTGTGATCTTGCATGACAATGCAATTCTAAATACCTCTGCCCACACTATTGACACTGCAAAAAAAAATTTAGAGGTGTCAAAGCATCCTCCCTATAGTCCTGATCTTGCTCCACTGGACTCTCACTTGTTTGGTTCCCTGAAAGCAGCCCTTCAACGACAAAGATTCACCCCTGATGAAGAAGGGAAGACAGCGGTGCAATGGTGCTTTGCAGCTCAGCCTAAAACATTTTTTAGAAAGGGAATATGAAAGCTTGTTGACAGATGAACAAAGTGTATTGAAAAGCAAGGAGATTATATTTTTAAAAGGATGTATTTGTCTTTTCTAAAGGTTAATTAAAATAAATTCTACAGAGTACAGATCATTTTTTTGACCCACCCTCATTTAATGGCCACAATACCCAACAAAATAGGTATTATTATTATTATCATCATTTTATATATAAGTAAACTCAGGAACAGAGAGGCATAATTCCAGCTAACAGACCAGGATCTAACCCACTGCAACCTATTTAACCCCTACTGAATCGTCACTGTCCAAAATTATATCTTTCAAATTGCATTACACAACATACGTGTCTAAAATCATTCCACTACATCATTTAATGACTATGAAGTAATATATCTTGCTAAAGCAGTGCTTTTTAAACTTTTATGTGCATATTAATCTCCTGAGCATCTAGAATTCTGCATTTCTAAAACATTCCCAGGTAATGATGCTGCTGCTAAGAAGACCTCACTTTTGGTAGCACAGTACCCAAATACATTTTTACTTTCACCAAAACATTTCTCTCTAATTGTCATCACTCATTGTTCTCTTCCTGAGGCCTGTGATATAAATGAAATATGAGCAGGTATTTGAGTCTACTTATGCTACAGCTAACAACTGTTTCATGCTTGTCACACTTAGTTTATCTCAGGTTTGCTTTCATTTCCAATGCAATTCTATTTTCCAATGATACTAAGTGCAATAACAATAAATTGTTCTGTTTATTATTTATTTAGGAAAGTGCTACTGCAAAGTCGTTTGACCTGCAAGGTCAGTGGTTCAAGCTCACCAGCTACTCCTCAGAAACCTTATACAGGGTCACTATCGGTAGGAACCGACTCAACAGCACTTCACAACAACTGTTCTTTTGAACTCAGAGGATACCATCCCCAGGCCTAGACCTCCCAAGGCCCCTACAGAAGCCATAGACAGGAACCACAGTTGCTGGCTGGTCTAGCATTCAGCTAGGGTCACTGGCAATCCTCCTCGAAGAAACAGCCAGGACTTTCCATTTTCATCACCCCAATATAAAAATATGAGATCCTTTCATCCACCCTATCATTTATTCACCCTACTGGCGTTGCCTCTGATCCGGCTCTCTACTTTTTCCTATTTCTTAAACTCTTTCCACTATGTTCCATCCATTAAAAACAAAACAAAACAAAACACCTCTCCAAAATTGTCAACTTCTTCTTAGATGATTTATGCACCTCTTTGTTGTTGCTCAAGTCAGTTCCGACTCACAGGGACCCTACATAGCGTTTTCTGAGGAGCGGCTGGAGCGTTTGAGCCACAAACCTTGTGGTTAGCAGCCCAGAGCTTATCTTATAACTGTGTCTAACTTTGGCTAATTTTATTCTTTTGAGTTCCTCAGAATCAAATATAGGATTTTGGCCTCTTCTCTTCTCAATACAGTATCTATGTATCATTCCTCACCCATTAGCTTATAAATACCTCCTGCTCCTCTTGAGGTTCAGCCCACTCTGACTTATCCTCTTTCTCTTGTGGTTAAGGATGATTGGTGGCATAGTGGGTTAGGTATTAGACTGCTAACTGCAAGGTCTGCAGTTAGAATCCAACAGCCACTCCACGGGAAGAAGAGGAGGCTTTCTGTTCCCGTAAAGATTTACAGCCTTAGTAACCTTACATAGCGTTACTTTGCATTGGAAACTTCCCAATAGCCATGGGTTTGGAACTCTTGGCTACTCGCTGACATTCCCTTTGCTCAGTTTTTCTCTCCACACCTATTCCATTCATCATATTAAGTTTCTTCAAAGTCCATATGTATTACTGTTGTTTTTGCTGGGAGCCAGTCGATTGTGATTCACAGAGACTCCAACTCCCAGCAATCCCATATTACAGAGAGAAACATCCCATAAAGGCTATTATCTTTAAAGAAGCAGATCACCAGAACTTTCTTCCTGAGAGCCAGTATAGGGTCGCTTTGAGTCGGAACTGACTTGAGCAGCAACAAAGAGGTGCATAAATAATCTAAGAAGAAGTTGACAATTTTGGAGAAGTGTTTTTTGTTTTGTTTTGTTTTTAAATGGATGGAACATAGTGGAAAGAGTTTGAGAAATAGGAAAAAGTAGAGAGGTGGGTTTGAACTCCCAACCTTTCAGTTAGCAACCAAGCACTTAAATTAACCATCATACCACCAGGGTTCCTTGTCTATACTAATATATACCCTATGTAATACCCTAAGTCCACCACTCATCTGTCAGTTTGTCATAATGTGGCAGCTTGCAAATTGCTGTGATGCTCGAAGCTATGCCACCAGTATTGCAAACTAGAAGGGTCATCCATGGTGGACAAATCTCAGTTGAGCTTCCAGACTAAGACAGACTAGGAAGCAGAGACTATTTCTGAATGTTTAGCCTTACAAATCTTATGAATAGTACCACGGGACCAGGAAAAAAAAAAAATCATGATAAATGGAGAAAAAAATTGAAGTTGTCAAAAACTTCATTTTATTTGGATTTACTATCAACACTCACAGAAGCAGCAGTTAAGAAATCAAATGACATTATTGCACTAGGAAAATCTGAAGTAGAAGACCTCTTGACCTCTTTAAAGTGTTCAAAAGCAAAGATGTCAGCTTGAGGACTAAGGTGCACCTGACCCACACCATGCTATTTTCAGTAACTTCATATGCATGTGAAAGTTGGATACTGTAGAAGAACTGATGCATTAGAGTTACGGTGTTGGAAAAGAATATTAAAAGTACCACGGACTATTAGAAGAACAAACAAATCTGTGTTGAAAGTATAGCCAGAAGGCTCTTTAAAAGCCAAGATGGTGAGACGTGCCTCTCATACTTCATACATATTATCAAGAGGGACCAGTTCCTGGAAAAAGACATCATGCTTACTAAAGTGGAGGGTCAGTGAAAAAGAAGACCCAATGTGGACTGGCACAGTGGCAGCAGTGTGAGGATGGTGTAGGACCGGGCAGTGTTCCATTCTGTTCTACATAAGTCACTGTGCGTTGACACTGACTTGGCAACACTAACAACAACAATACTCCAAGTCATCATTACCACTTTTCCAACTGTCCTCTCTACATCTCAGTCAGCCACCCTCTGGACCCCTCCAAAAGGACCATAACATCTATCCTTCCGCCTTGGTTTTCTAACAGCTCGCCTGCAGATAGTCTTTGATCCCATCACGACATCTCTTCTATTGGTGCCTCTTATTGTTTATTAAGTGCCATCAAATCAGTTCTGGCCCATAGTAACCCTGTATAGGGTTTCCGAGAAGTGGCTGATGAGCTTGAACCACCGGCCTTGCGGTTCAAAGTGACCTTGCAGTCCAGCACATTAGCCCACAACACCACACTAAGATTCCTGGTTCCTCTAGAATCTCCATATTCATTAGCTCCCTGATATCTTCAATTTCTTCCCAATCCAATTTAGTTTCCTAGGTTTATCATTTCATTTAGCTCAACAAGGTTATTCTCAAAAATTAGCCCTTGAAAGAGATCTTGGATAAGTAAAGTACAACTTATAAGTAAAGTACAATGTATACAGAACAAATTTGGAGGCCTCTCACTACCTGATCTCAAAATCTACTATAGAGCCACAGTGGTCAAAACAGCCTGGTACTGGTACAACAAAAGATACAGAAACCATTAGAAAAGAATTAAAAACCCAGAAGTAAATCTATCCACGTACAGTCAGCTGATCTTTGACAAAGGGCCAAAACATTAAATGGGAAAGAGATAGCATCTTCAACAAATGGTGGTGGCAGAACTGGAGATTCATTTGCATAAAAATGAAACAAGACCAATATTTCACACTATATACAAAAACATATTCAATGTGCATTAAAGACCTAAATGCAAAACCTAGAACTACAAAGAACATCAATGAAAAAATGGGGCTAAATTGAGGGACTCTGATATATGGAAAAATACACTGTCAAACATAACTAAAAACACGCAAACAGAAGAAGGCAAAATAGATGATTGGAACCTCTAAAAAATTAGATGTTTATGTGTATCATAAAATTTCACCATAAAAGTAAAAAGAGACTCCTCAGAAGGAAAAAAATGTTTTGCAATGGCATATCACACAAGGGATTAATCTCTAAAATTACAGAAAACTACAAAACCTATACAAGACAAACAACCCAATTAAAAAATGGGCAGAGGACATGAACAGACACTTCATGAAAGAATACATTCAAGTGGCCAATAAACATATGAAAAAAATGTTCATGATCTTTAGCCATCATTGCTGTTGTTAAGTGTTATCAAGTAGGTTCTGACTTACAGCAACCCAGTAAGGGTTTCTGAGGAGTAGGTGGTGGGTTTAAACCACCAACCTCACAGTTAACAGTCCAGGGCTTATCCTACAACACCACACCAGGACTCCTTTTGCCATTGTTGTTGTTGTTTAGTGCCATCCAGTCAGTTCTGACTCATAACAATCCTGTATATGGTTTCCAAGGAGTGGCTGGTGGGTTTGAACCAGCCACCTTGTAGTTAGCAGTCCAGTACTGATCCTACCAAAACACAATGAGGTATCATCTCACCCCAGCATGACTTTTTTTTTTTTTTAATGTTTTATTGTTAATTATGTGATAGTTTACATGGGAGAACATTGTAGCAAAAAAAAAAAAATTCATTTTTCCAAATACCTAAAATATGAGTAAGTTCAAGAACTGAAGGAAGGAAAAAGCACTCTCATCCCGTTTTTTAATAAAGTGTTTACAGAATCCCACCACTGTGATCTAGAATACTTGGTAGCTCAAACTGTTTGAAGCCTATGAAGGGACTTCAAAAAGTTTGTGGGAAATTCCATTATCTTCTAATTCCATTTTTCCATGAACTTGTTGAAGCGCCCTCATATTAAGTATTTAAACCTTTACTTAACCAAGTAAAATGAGAATTTCCAAGGGATTTCACAAAAGTAAAAATGTTCCCTAAATAATCACTGGAACTGTTCTTTCATTTGACAAATATTTACTCAGGATCTACTAAGTGCAAGGCTCTGTAACACTGGACTGTTGCAAAGCTAGCATTACCCAGATCCGACTAAAGAAGCAATTGGCAAAAGAGCAAGTGCAGTGCATGGAAACAATAAAGAGGTGGGAGCTTTTTACAACAGCACTGCAAAAGGAGAGCTTACCCCACCCAAGAACCCCAATGGGGCAAGGAAAACAACTGTACACTATGACTCCACTGCCAAATATGTCTAGATTACCAAATACAAACGTAAAGGCCTTGCGTTTACCTCTGTGTACTCTCTTCTTGGGGGTATTCTTCATTCATATACCCATGCGTTCACCTACTACTCATTGTGCCAGACCCCATTCTAGGTATTGCTGATCAGTAAACAATACTGATTTCAAGGAGTGTACTTTGGGGGAGGGGAGCGGGGCAAAGGACAAGAAGCCAGGCGGGAAGGAGCGGAGGAGGAGGAAGAAGAAAAAGAAGAGGAGGAGAGTTCAAGAGACAATAAACAAAGGGGATTGGTGGCTAGATAACATTATTTTGGATAGGGATAAAGGTTGTAAAGAAAAACAGGATGAGGCTGCGGGGGAGACAAAGTTACACATATTTATGCTTCTGCTCGGAACTGTTACCATTATTCTTATTCCGCGCCCCCCAGGAGTTCGTACAGAACTTAATATGCATGCATCATATAAACATCAGATGACTATTTGCAGCCCCCACCAGTATGCAAACTACTGGTAATCTGAAAACCGTCTCTTTTTTCCCCTGCCTGGCACATAAATAATTCATTAATCGATACAGATCAACACCTAGTTACTATGTTAAGAAACGGATGAAATGCTTGAATGAATGGATCCGCAGTGAATAAAAACACTTTATGTGGTCTGGGAAGCTGGAGAAAATCGTTCCCAAGTCAGTCACAGGTTGTACATGTAGTGGACAACAGGCTCCAGACGCGGCCCGGGTTCGTCTCCCACCTCGGCCCCGAGCTAGCGCTACAACGACGTCAACGTAACTATCACCCGGGGGCCAGAAGCCAATTCTCCCCGCGGGCAGGTGCTAGTCCAGCCGCTCCGTGCCATCCCGAGATCCTGGCTACAGAGTTCACAGGCAAGAAGTTTGGAAGAGGGGGCCACGCGCCCCAGCTTTCGGGTCCCGCTCCACCCCCCAAACGGATTTCTCCCGCCTCCTGCTTAACTCCGTCGGCGCCGGAAAGAGCGAAGCAGGGAAGGAGGCCTGACCCGACAGTCCGGGCCCAGCGAGGCCCACAGGGAGTAGGCTGCAGCAGTCAAGCGGAGAGAAGGGTTTAGTTTTTTAAGCGGGGAGAAGCGTCCCCAAGAACACTCACCCCAGGGTCTCTAGTATGTCCAGCACGTCCCACTCCATCGTAGGTTCCAGAGCTGGCTCGGGCCCTCTCAGGGTCCTTTGGCCCAAAGATGTTCAGCGCTCAAAGGAGCCCGCCGGAAACCCGCGTCACAGCGTCAAGGTTCCGCTCAGGGTCTCGACCGTGTCTACACGCGAGCGTCTAAAGGTTCCCGGCCCAGAGGCAACAGATACTTGATAGTGCTTAAAAAAGCTCTGGTAGCATAGTGGTTACGAATCGGGCTGCGAACCTTCTTAAGATCAGCAGTTCGAAACTACCAGCCATTCCACGGGAGAAAGATGAGGCTTTCTGCTCCTGTAAAGATTTACAGCCTCGGAAACCCTGTACAGGGTCAGTATGAGTCGGAACTGACTCCACAGCACACAGCTACCACCACACCAAAAAAGCTTACGTGACCGTAGTTTTTTGGTTGCTTTATTTTTTTCCAAGTATAAATAGTAGCAATAAAAAGACATCTTAGTTTTGAGTCTTATCGATGTGTGAATGTGAATCTTAGCAAATAACCGTGATTCTGAGTTCTCAGCCTATCAGACTGTTTTGTAACAGTATATTCTGCGATATATTTGTAACTATCTCAAATTGAAATTAGTAAACAATCCCATCTACTTAACACATAATTTTAAAAGCAATATACATGGCAATGCATAGATTTTAATATAAAGAGGAAATAAAGGAAAGGGCATTTAAAACAAAATAATATACATTTCATTATAAAATATTGACCAATAAAGAGATAAACCAGTAAAGTATTCAGGAGCAAAGATACCACTTTGAAGGCTAAGGTGCATCTCACCCAAGCCACGGTATTTTTAATAGCTTCATATGCATTTGAAACTTGGACCAAGAATAAGGAAGACCATAGAAAAACATACTCATTTGAGTTATGATGCCAGAGCAGAATCTTAAAAAATACCATGGACTGCCAGAAGAACAAAGAAATCTGCGTTGGAAGAAGTATAGCCAGAATGCTCCTTAGAAGCATTTGTCTCTCAGACTTCAGACATGTTATAAGGAGGGACTAGTCCCTAGAGAAGGACATCATGCTTGGTAAAGAGGAGGGTCAGCAGCAAAGAGGAAGCCCTCCAATGAGATGAACAGCAACAGCAGCAATGGCCCCCAAGCATACCAATAATTATGAGGGTAGTGCAGATCAGCCAGTGTTTCGTTCTGCTTGGTATAGGGTCGCTATGAATCGGAACCAACGACAGGACACTTAACAAGAACAAAGAGATCAGATGGTTGCATCTATCTGTAGAAACCCTGTAAATACAAATGTAGGCTATGGTTTTTGTTGTTACTGGATTGTGTAAATAGCACAAATATCATAAACAGAGTTAAAGTGTTTTGATTTTCTAAATTATGATAACTCTCTATAAAGTTTCAAACTAAGCACAGTATTCTTTCTGTATACCAGTCCTGGAGAATTCCAAGTTTATTTAAACGATGTAAAACTACTTGGGTCTATCTGTTAAAGGAAATCAATCAGATTATAATAGATTCATCACTTTCATAAATATCCAGCTAGACAGTCAAAAGTAAAGCTACTGATTCTTGTAAAGTCAGTAATAGAGTGATTGCCGGTCAGTAATGTGGACTCCTGGTATGATGCTGTAGGATAAGCACTGGACTATGAACCACAAGGTCAGTGGTTTGAAAATTCAAACCCACCAGCTGCTCCTCAGAAACCCTCTACTGGGTAGCTGTAAGTGGGAACCCACTCGTCGGCACTTATCAACAACATCAACATTGGTAGAATGAGCACTAGGCTGCTAACCACAAGGTTTGGGTTCAAGCCCACCAGCTGATCCTCTGAAACCTGTATAGGGTGGTCATGAGTTAGCATGGACTAGACAGCACTTAACAACAACAATATAGTAAAAGCAACAAAGCCCCCACTTTCCTAATCATTGTTAGAAACAAAAACCTTGTTCATAAATTTGGAAAACTCCCTGGGGGAGGAAAAAAGAATAACCTCCATTCTACCCTTTATCCTATTTCAAACAAAGCTTATAAGTAAATTACTTGCAGTAAAAAGTACCTGAATTCATCCCCCTGATCTGGCTCTTGACATTATTCACTACTCCTGTCTCTGACCAGTTTCTCTGCTGCTCTGTGTCCCTAGTTGCTAGAGTACTAAGTAATCATTTGTGGAATAAAAGAACAAAATAACATCCAGAGTCATCTTGTTTTGGAGTCTGTGAATATGATGAAATTTTTGGCTACAATCAGTATCCGGGTTATCAGGAGATATTAACTTCTGTATCTATTCTTAGTACTTCTGGTGTGGAGCTGTGGATCAGCACTGGACTTCGAACAACAAGGCTGGCAGTTCAAACCCACCAGCTGCTCCTCGGAAACCCTATTCAGAGTTGCTATGAGTCTGGACCGACTTGATGGCACTTAACAACAACAATTTAACTATTCTTAGATTTCATTCAGATGAATTTTGCCCTAAAGACATCAGCAAGATGACCAGGGGGCATGCTTGTAGGATATACCCTTAGGATGGTTGATGATGCATGGAGGGGATTGTAACCATAGCAATGAAATGATATACTATAGGATGAATGTAAAACGAATGTTCTCCTGTGTAAACTATCACAGAATTCACAATAAAACATTAAGGGGGAAAAAAAGACATCAGCTATAGCTCAGGTCATCATTAGACAACTACTTATTGGTTTGACTGGAAGCCTACATCAATTCGGAATACATAATTTGTGGGTCACACTTAAAAAATGAAAATGTTCAAATATTATTAATAATTTTAAGACGGCAAAAGCAAACCATTAAACCAAGAACAGAGCCCTTCTAAGAGGAGGGTTCTGTGCGATGGACCAGATTACTTGCCCATCAAGCTGGTCTTATTGTACCCTCTAAAAGGCCAAGAGAAGGGTATGATCTCCAACATAGATCTACTAGTGGTACTAATTCACAAACTGCACCATTTTGTATCAACACAGAGAACCTGCCTGACTGATGTCAATGCAGACAGATACATTCAGAAAAATAGTCTCTTTGTGTTCAAACTTATCTTCCTGACCAAGGGAGTTGCTGAGAACAGTTGGGTTCTCACAGATTATATTATTTTGTTATTGTTGTTAGATCCCATCAAGTCAGTATTGACTCATAGCGACCCTCTCTATGCACAACAGAGAGAAACACTACCCAATCCTGTGCCAACATCGCAATTGTTGCTACATTTGAGCCCATTGCAGCTGACACTATGCCAATCCATCTTGCTGCAGGGGGTCTTCCTCATTTTCTCCAATCCTCTACTTTGCCAAACATGATATTCTTCTCCAGGGACTGGTCCCTTCTGACAATACGTCAGAAGTATGAGATACAAAGTCTGGCCATCCTGGCTTCCAAAGAGCACTCTGAGTATACTTCTTCCAACACAGATCAGTTTGTGATTTTGGCAGTCCATGGTACTTACAATATTCTCCTCCAACACCATATAACTCAAATGCCCCAATTCTTCTAAGTCTTCCTTATTCACTGTCCAACTTTCACATGCATATGAGGTTATTGAAAATACCATGGCTTGGTTCAGGTGCGCCTTAGTTCTCAAACTGACATCTTTGCTCTTCAATTCTTTATTATAAGTGTAGGAAACTCAAGGATAATTTGTATTAAACATCTTACAAACTGAAAGGAAAACAATCACGGATCATTTAATATCAGACCTTTGAGCCCCTGAAGAGCAGCAACAAGACTCTTGGAAGGTAGAATTAAAAAATTTCTCCCATGACCATTAGAGATTCTGGACGGTACAAATGCTTAAGCATTCAGCTACTGGTCCAACAGTTCACAGTTCTAAGCTGCCCGGTAGCACCTCAGAAGAAAAGCTTGGCAGTTTACTTTCAAAAGGTCCCAATCTTAAAAAGCCTAGAGAGAACAGTTCTATTCTGCAACACAAGGAGTTGTCATGAGTTGGGAACTACTCCACACAACTACAACAACCGCTGAGCAATGTATGAGGGGGCTTCAAAGAGTTTGTAAGAAAATCCCACTATCTTTTCATTCATTCCATTTCTCTAGGAACGCTTTGAAGCCCTCTCACATAGTTACCAGGCAAATTATTGGAGTGGGTTCTGACTACTCCAAAGAACACCTTGTGCAAATTTCCTTATAAATAATGCAATACACTTTATTTATTTCAATGTATACTTTTCTTGGAATTAGGGGGAAACACTTTGGAATTGGGAATAAGATTCTGGAATGTGCAGAACAGAATTTATGATTTGAGGTAAGTGCCTAATGTGAAATGACCAGATGTCTGGAGGTGGGTTGATTTTGTTCTGAGACGTAGCCGAGACTGTGGTTACTTCCTAATGAAACTTGAGCCAGACTTTCAACTTGCAGCTGGAACCTGATGTATCAATTAGCCCTAGGAATGGACATTGCAGGTTCATTGCACCTAGGACTAATTTTTTTCTTAATTACGGTATCCTCATTTTTAAAAGAAGATGCTGCTTTCTTAGTCAAGCTGGAAAAAAAAAAGAGACATTACCATGAATGTGACTGACAACTTCAGTTGATGTAATATTATATAGGCTAACTTCTGCAACAAATCAGTGGAGACCTGAGTTTATGTCTCACTCATATCATAGTTCAATCAGGTAATTGGTGGGTGGTTATGGCAGACTGTATTTCCAAAGATGCCGATGATAGTGTCAGCAATGCTATATACTCTCCTGGGATGTGGTTTTGCCACTGCCCCATGAAGACATCAAGTTAATTTCTCCATCTCCTTAGGTCCAGATAAGCCCTGTGACTGCTTTGACCCACAAAATATGGCAGAAGGGCTGTTGTTCCAGTTCAAGGGCAGCTGGTAGTTTCGACTTAGCCTCGTTTTTGAATTAATTTCCTTCTTTTTTTTATTATTGTGGTGGTTGTTAAGTGCCATCAAGTCAGTTCCAATTCACAACAACCCTGTATAGCATTTCTAAGGAGCATCTGGTGGGTTTGAACCAGGTAAGTTTTTCTTATTAATCACAATGAAAGGACTCTCCTTGCTATGTTATAACCCCATC